GCACATTCCTGCGAGAATGAAGGATAGGTATGGCAAGTTATGTGAACTTTGGATGACCAGGGATGTTATGATCTTGGTCAAAAAAAAAGAAAGCATCCAGAAGGTTTAGGAGGATGGGAACTAACGAAGCCCTTGAAGTACATAAAGAAAGTAGGAAAGAACTTAAACAAGGAATTAGAACGTCTAAAAGGGGTCATGAAAAGTCGTTACCAAACAGGCTTGAAGACAATCCCAAGGCTTTTTATACATATATAAAAAGCATGAGAGTAGCTAGGGAAAGGGTTGGCCCACTCACGGACAAGGGAGGGAATCTGTGTGTGGAGCCAGAAGAGATCTGGTGACATCCTAAACAAATACTTTGCGTTGGTATTCACCAAAGAAAAAGAACTGATGGAGGATAATCTCAGGGACGGGAGTGTCGAGTTTCTGAGCTAAGTTGCTATTAAAAAGGAAGAGGTGTTGTGCATCTTAAAAAATATGAAGGTAGATAAGTCCCTGGGTCCTATTGAGGCAGGCAAGAGAACAAATTGCTGGAGCATTGATAGACATCTTTATATCCTCTTTGGCCACAGATGAGGTCCCATAGGACTGGAGAATTGCCAATCAGCATTTTAGAGAGGGCACAGAAAACGTTTACCAGGATGTTGCCTGGTATGAGGGATTTTAACTATGAAGAAAGGTTGGATAGACTGGGTTTGTTTTCACTGGAACTCAGGAGTTTGAGAGGTGACATGATAGAAGTTTATAAGATTGTGAATGGATAGAGTGGAAAGTATGAGGCGTTTTCCCAGGTGGAGAGGTCAATTACTAGGGGGCACACGTTCAAGGTGCAAGAGGGGTAAGTTTAAAAGAGATATGCGAAGCAAGTTTTTCACACAAAGGGTGGAACGCGTTGCCAGAGGAGGTGGTGGAAGCAGACACAACAGCAGCATTCACATAACACCTGGATGAATACATGAATAGGAAGGGAAGAGAAGGATACGGATCCTGTAAGTGAAGACAGTTTTAGTCTGAAAGGGCAAAATGTGTCGGTGCAGGCTTGGATGGCTATATGGGTCAAACACTTGGATGATCAAACAAGAAAACAAATTGCACAAGAACAGAAAATTTATAATAGTGTTTTCATAATTATGATGGATTTCGAAAGAGTGCTAATTTCTGCCAACGTATGTATACACATTCATAAAATCACACTATGTATGTACACACTTACATACACACACATACATTCTTTTTATGCAGATGAATTTCTATTGGAGTGGAATTCTTAACGCTCATTTGCTGTAATTTTGATGTTTACTCCATATTTCTAGTAATTCTGTAGCTCTTAAGCTGGACAAGTCAGAGGATATTTCACCTATCATAAACAATGCATTTTTTTTAAAAGAGAAACGCTCTTATGTTGTACTCTTGTAAGGATGTAAACTGTGATTGTAAAATCAATACTTTTTCATTTAAAAAGGCTGTATTTCCAAGGTAAAGTGTTACTAATTAGTGAATGAATAATCCAAAATATGCCAACCTTACTTAAGTTGTAAAAAATAATCAAACCAAAAGATTTAAAAGGGACCTGAGGGGCAACTTTTAAACACAGAAGGCGGTTCATATATGGAATGAACTGCCAGAGGAAGTGGTAGTTGCGGGTACAATTACAACAGTTGAAAGACTTTCGGACAGGTACATGAATAGGAAAAGTTGAGGAGGTGTTATGGACCGGACCAGACCAGACCCCCTCAAAGTGTATTAAAAAGGTAGCCTAGACCCTAAC